TCCGCTGAATGGTGCTGGATCCACAAGAGCTCTGGCATCAAGGCGTGACGCGTTTCGTCACGCCACGAAAGTGACGCAGCAGACTCGGTGCAACCCCAGCAGCAGCTCCTGGCAGGTGTGGCAGGACGCCCTGGACCTGACTCAGTCCGGTGGAAGTGGCGAAGTCAAGTGCCTCTTCCACTACACGACTCAGTTGGGGTTCCGAAACATCACGGCTCCACAGAAGAAAGCCGTTGAAGTCTTCGTGCTGCACTCAGTTGCCAATCAGCATGTCATGTGATGTCATGTGAGCTGCGTTTTAAACCTCCGTGTTTATGTTTAGTATTGGGATCCTTGTAAGGGCCTGAGGCGTAAGCAAAACACTGGTGCGCGTAAGCTTGCGTAAGCCTTTTTTACCAATATTGCTGGCGTAAGGATGGCGTAAGCTCATTTTCAACGGTTTTAATTTGAGGTTTTAAGTAGTGGTATGTATGATGCATCCTAACCTGACATGACCGGACTGGTTTTTGATTTTCCTCGGGCCACGGTAGCCCTCCTGTCTTTCAGTTCAACACACCTGCATGGTTTTGGTATCAATTTCAGGTTGCCTGGCATTATAGAGTATGGATGGTTTTCCCATGTTTTCCCCATTTCTATCGATATGGACCATTTATAAATTGAAAAGATTCGCTGTTCAAGGTTTGCAGGGACCCACATGTACTTAAGAATTCAGCATATCAGAAAGGGGCAGATGCAGAGAGTGACAGGCAACCTATGCATTGGAATGCCTTTTCTTGAAGGAACATTGGTTATCTTCAGTGGGTGTTTTGCGTAGTTGTTTCCTGACATCCGCGTAAGGACCGCGTAAGCGTCGCGTAAGCTGCGCGTAAGCCAAAGGTGCTTTTGCCAGTAGTTGCCCATGCCGCCCAAAGAGAAACTCTCCAGTCATGCCCGTGCTCTCAGCAAGGGTGCTGTCAAAAAACGTCGTCAGCTTCGTGCTCGGCGAGCTTCTGCTGGTGGTACTTCTTCATCATCTTCTTCCTCTTCTTCCACGTCTTCATCGTCCACTGCTTGATTTTGCCAATCACTGCTTCGATTCTTGCATGTAAAAGTTGCTGCGCGTAAGTCGAAACTGTGGTGACGTGCTAAAAATTGTCCGCGTAAGGTCTGCGTAAGGTACTATAACGTGCGTAAGTAAAACTTGTGCGCGCGTAAGCAATGCGTAAGCAGCAGCGTAAGCTTTTCCTTGTTTGGTGCCGCCATGCAAGACATTTAAAACACAGCTCATGTGTCTTTTTGCCCGCTCACCTTGCCGATGGCCACAGCCTTGAGCATCCAAAGGCCTCGTTGGTCACCAGTGGTCCGAAGGCCAATGCGTGGTGGGGACAAGGCAAGGTCACATTCATCAAAGCTGACAAAACGTGAGCATTTGCAGACCCTTGTGTCCACTGCAAACAACTCTGGCGAGGCGTTTACAGTGTCAGAAGGGCACCGGATGAATGGCCAGACGTGGCCACGCTGATTGACAATAACTATCGGAATATGCATAAGAGGGATGTTGAATCGAAAGGCCGTGAGGCAGCGGACGAGGAGAGTGTGCCTTTCTTAGGTGCCGCATTTCTTGTCCACATTTTTGGTGCAATTTTTGGATGTGCACATCGTCATTGTTTGGAGGTTAACAAACCTAGATCCAATCATGCAGGAGTACTCCTCCCGTGTGGCTTACTGTATTCCACTCTTAGCCAACTCTGCCATATGCTACGACGTTTCGATTCAACAGACGCCGGAGATGCAGAAGGAGGCTGGTAGCATGCTTTGCCTGGAGCGAAACCGATTTCGCGTGGACATTTTCTGCAGCACTTGGCTTGTGACTCATCTTTGCTCTGCGGGGCCAGGGCAAGCCTCCCGGCGTGCCAGGGGCCCAGTCCTTGAGTGCTTCATGTGAAATCTGATGAGCACGCCATTTAAACGTTGCTTTCAAGCCTGTGGCGCAGGAACCTGGCAGGAAAGCTGCTGAATGAACGTGGGCAGCCAGAGAGGCAGTGCGTCGTGATCCGGGCGCAAAGGGAGGAGGAAGTGGGCCACGCCAGCGCAGTGCTGCTGGACACGAAGCCTGGCTGCTTTCAGGGGCTTGGAGCTTGGGTCTTGAGTCAGCTTGCCATCCAGGGTTATGGCTGTTCAATCGAGGGGTTTGGTCCTTTGAGCTTGCCATATCCAGGAGTTAGGATTCGTCCAGTAGGATTAAATCAGGTGGGCCGAGTTCAAGACTTCTATTAGAAAAATGATCCAGAGGGCTGACAAGTTTTTGTTTTTTCATGAATTATCAAGTTCGAGATGCACACTGGTCCCTTCGGTCGATTTGGACCAGAACCAGCATGATTTCAACATTTGTTTTTGATGCAACCCTGCGGACTGTTTCCGCTGCTCTCTTGCTCTCATCTTGCCTTTCCTTCTTCCGGGATCTCTGGTCACGTCGCTCCCTGGCAAGTTTACGGAACCTCTCTTGTGGGTCAAAGTATCATGGTCGTGGCTCAAGCTCTGTTTCGAGAGCGGGCGCGCTTGTCAATCCAATATTTTTCACTCCAGACTCCAGATCTAGAAAGGTACACCGCAAGATAAAAACACCGTTTGTCCTGGCTCGGGCTCCTTGTCCTGCATTTGAAAGTATCTGGGAGTAAAGGCATGGAGCAGAATCGCTTGATGTTTGATCTTGCCACCTGACCATTCACTTTAAGATGTGAAGAAGGCGTGACTCAGGTTCTGGAACTTTGAAACTCTTTCAGGAGTGCCCGCGCGACATTTCCTTCTGAGATTTCTTGAGTACGGCCCACTTCGAGTTTTATAGTATCATCGGCTATATTCGTCTATGCCATGTCTATTGATTATGCTATGAGTTGACTTGAATTACCCGCTCCATTTAGGACAAATGTCTGCCAATTTCAAAAAACTTGGCGCCCTCCCACCCTCACGCGTAAAAACATATGGTTGAAGATGGTTGAAGATCCCGCAAAGCAGGGGCCATCAATTGCAGCCCAGTAGGCAGCTTCTGACTGAAGCTGGGAGCCGTCCCACACCTTGACGATTTTGCGTACCGGTGGCCATTCTCTTGAACTTGATGTGTCTTCCATGTTGGTGACATGGTCGACCACCGCATTGCCATGTGATAGGCACAGCCATGTGATAGGCATCATCATGGACCAAGGCCGCGGTGCCGTGCAGATGCCACAGCCGAAAGATTGGGCCCTGAGCACGACAAAGCGCTTTTGGCACTGAGCCGGTGCGGACCTCAGTCCCTCCAAAGAGACGAACACATTAGCAAACATGTATTGTTGAGTCAAGAACTGTATTGTCTTGTCACCAGAGATTTGCATCCAGAAATGCCGCAAAGCCGCAAAGTGAAAGCTGTAGATTGCAGTAGGCAACAGTATTTGCAACAAGCATCAAATAGCATCAAACAGCATCAAAAAGTATAGCCTATAGCAACTGCTCAAGTGAAATCAAAACAATTCGAATCCCAGAATCTCGTTTTTCCACCAGGGACTTGGATCCAAAAATATGCCACGACACCAGAAATAGTAAAAAAGTGCCCTCTCTCCACGGAGCCGTGGGAACTTTTCGGCTCCCGTGGCGATCCACGGCTGAGGCTCGCCCGGGTGCTGGCGGAGCGCGGCGCCTTCGCGGAGGCCGAGCCGCTGCTGCGACGATTCCTGGAGGCCACGGAGCGACAGCTGGGCCCCGAGCACCGCTGGACGCTCGAAGCGGTGAACAACTTGGGGTACGTTCTGAAGCGCCTGGGGAAGTTCAGCGAGGCGCCGCTGATGTGCTGTGCTGTGCTGCAGTCACCGTGGCAGGTGGATGGTGCTGCATTTTGTGTTGGGAAAAGTTGGCAAAATTTGCAGGGAAACAATCACCGCATTTTCAGATCATCTCAAAATTTTGTCATCTATGTAGAAGTGCGATGATGCATGAACAATGAACATGTCAATTTTACGCAAATCATCTCAAATCATCTCAAATCATCTCAAATCACGTCATGTATGGACGTGCCAAAACATGGACATGTCAAAGTTTAGCAAAAGATGTTTGCAAAGAACAGATGCCGCGTTGCAAGTTTCAGTCTGAGATGTCTGAGGCTGTCAAAGCGTTTTTGCAAAAAATCACAGAACAGATGCACCCTGAGGTTGGAGTTTATTTGCCAACGGAAGATTGGAACGACGATGACGCACATCCAAATTATGTTGAAATGTCAACTCGTCGAACTTTGCGTTTGATTCTTCAAGTTTTGAATTATGTGTGCATTTACATGGTATAATTGTACTTGACATCTTTTTCATCAATCCAAACTCAAGGCTGTTGCCCACCTTTCTTCCCTTTCCACATGGTACTCGCAGGCAGATCCAGGCCTGCAGGCCCCACACCACCGGTGCCATCCCGAGATGCCAGGCAGAGGCCCTGCACCGCCGAGCTCTTGCAGGGAGCGAAGCGCACCTCGGTGCGAATCATCCGTACACGCTGATCTCCATGAACAACCTTGCGATGCTCCTGCGGCAGCAGGGAAAGCTGGCTGAGGTGGGGCTGAGGTCTTTGGATGGAGAGAGGTGACCTTCCTGGAGGGCGTTTCACTAAGGGCATTTTTTTGTTTGGCCAAGGCCTGAGGCCTGGATTTGTTCTTTTCAATTTCCCGGTATTATTGGGTCACCTTTTTTGAGCGAACTAACACAAATTAATTAAATCCATGCCAAATTGAAAATAGGACCCCCATGCACAAAACTGTTAGTTTCATAGTTGTAACGATGTGACAATATGGCAAAACTGTCAAATCTTTCGGGTGAATTCCTGCAAATGTTGAATGCAAATGAAGCCTATAGTATATATAGGCGCATGCTGACTGAAAGTATGACATCTCCGGGGCCCCGATACTGTTCCCATCTCCAAGATGCCAGGCGGAGGCCCTGCACCGCCGAGCTCTTGCAGGGAGCGAAGCGCACCTCGGTGCGAATCACCCAGAGACGCTCACCTCCATGAACAACCTTGCCGCGCTCCTGGAGCAGCAGGGGAAGCTGGCTGAGGCTGGGCTGAGGTCTTCCGGGTGAGGGGTGACCTTCCTGGAGGACGCTTCACATTTTTGGTTTGACCAAGGCCTGAGGCCTGCATTTTCTTCTTGTTTCCCGGTATTGGTGAAACGATGTGACAAGTGATTCATTTATGCAATTATTTATCATCGTTGCAGGGTTTTTTGTCTGCATATGTACTTGCTTTTGTTTCCCACACCTCCTGACCATGTGCCCACCCTCGGCAAAATCTCATGAAAGTATAGTCACCCTTTATCACACTCTCAAAAGAGTTCATCAAACCTGAAGAATTTCAAGATTCACTATACCAGCAGGGAACTGCGTGGCTTCTGAAGTCACCAACAGGATAGTGTTGCCAACCTAATTCAATGAAGACCAACGAAGTAATTTTGCAGATGCACCCTCTTTCTTGCCATTTGGCATTGCTTCTCAGACGCGCTCCCCCTGGTTCCCTGGGGTCGGTTGCAGGTTGAGGTCTTTGGGGTGAGAGGTGACTTTCCTGGACGTTTCACCAAGGGCATTTTTTGGTTTGACCAAGGCTTGAAGCCTGGAGATTATTCACGTCGCTTCGCGACGGCAACCGCCCGCACCGCATCGTTGGGCTCACACAGCAGGGGCATAAAATGATGTCAGCCATTGTTCTCTTCTATTGCCATTGTTCTCTTCTATTGCCGTCACTCCGCGACAAGAACCCCTGTGCGGCCGCCACGGTTTGAACGATGTTGTTCTCACACCTTCGCGACCGCTCGTAACTGCCAATGATGTCGGCCATTGAGACCAAAAACATCCGAAAGTACTGATTGTCGGAAAAAAAAACGCGAAGAATTTGATAGCCATGTATAGCGGACCAACGCAGTTCAAAAAATAACGAAAAACATGAAAAAACGGCGAAATTGCTGTTATTTACAGTGTTTTTGCGCGGTGAGAAGCAGAAACCACTGCAAATACCATGGTTTTTGAGGGTCAGGTGGCCAAAAACACTGTAATTTACAGTGTTTTTTTAACCAACGTCAAAAAACACTGGTATTTACGATGTTTTCATTCACACCGTAACATAAAACAGCGTAATTTACGAGGTTTTTGGAAGTTTTGAAGCTAGCCGTCAAGCATGCAGAAAACAGAAAAACATTGTAAAAACCAGTGTTTCTGCTATCACAAAACGACGAAAATCAGTCCGAAAACGGGTCCAAAAACTCAAAAATCCGCCTCCGGGCCAGGCCACCTGCGGAACCGCAAAAAAAGATGTTGCAAACCAAAAAATTGAGGTCAAAAAGTTGAAAAACACGGTGTTTTTTTCACTTTTCGCTTGCCGATTTTGGACGGGCGCGTTCACGAACAGGTGTCTTCCGTACTGTTTTTTACAGTGTTTTTTGAAGGCGAGCGTCACGACCTATCAAAAACAGGAGGTTTTGGCCGAAAAATGACCCCCCCCCAGGTAAACCTGTAACCTTTTACGAGTGCCATCCGGACGATCACGCCCCAGCACCTTCGGTGCGGGCGGATTTTTGTTTCCCGGTATTGTTGGATGATTCTTTTTGTTTTCTGAGTTTGGATTTTTTCACAACGGGAAGATTGGAACGAAGATGACTCACATCCAAATTTTGTTGAACATGTCAACTCATCGACCTTTGTGTTTTATTCTTCAAGCTTTGAATCAGCTTTGAATTATGTGTGCATCTTACATGGCACAATTGTATTTGACATTTTTTTCATCAATCCAAACACAAAGCCATTGTTCATCTTTCTTCCTTTCCCACATTGTCACATAGTACTCACAGGCGGATCCAGGCCTGGGGCCCCACGCCACCGACGCCATCATCCCAAGACGCCAGGCGGAGGCCCTGCACCGCCGATCTCTTGCAGGGTGCGAAGCGCACCTCGGTGCGAATCATCCGCACACGCTCTCCTCCATGTCCAACCTGGCGATCCTTCTGGAAAAGCAGGGGAAGCTGGAGGAGGCGGGGCTGAGGGTCTTTGGGGTGAGAGGTGACCTTACCGGACGTTTCACCAAGGGCATATTTTTGTTTGGCCAAGGCCTGAGGCCTGGATTTTCTCTTGTCAATTTCCCAATATTGCTGGATTACCTTTTTTGGGCGTAATACATCGTTGGGACCCCCATCCACATTTCATAGTTGTAATCGGCAAAATGAACACATGGCAAAACTGTCAAATCTTTCCGGTGAATTCTTGCAAATGAGGCCTATAGATGGCTATAGTATAATATATCTATAAAGGCGCATGCTGACTGACATCTGCAGGACCCCCATACTGTTCCCACTCGTTTCCTGGTTGCAGCCGGAAACTCACGAAAGCTGTGCGGTTGATATTTATATGGAGATATACAGATATAATCATATATATATACTGTATATGGTAGTTTGCATACCGCAGTGACTACACAAATTGCCTGACACTTACGTTGCTAGTTTGTAGTGCCGCAGCGGCGCCACCTCGAGCCGCCAGGCTGAAGAACTGCAACGCAAAGCGCTCGCAGGGTTTGAAGCGCAGCTGGGAGCGAGCCATCCCAACACGCTAATCTCCGTGAACGTTCTCGCTATGATCCTCGAGTCGCAAGGCAAATTGGAAGAGGCCAGACCGAGGTCGGGGGCAGAAAGGTGACCTTCCCCGTGGAAGTTCCAAGGGAAGGCGCTTCTTTTGAAGTAAACAAGAGTGGAAGAGTGGACCCTTCCATGTCTCCAATTTGTGCATCTCCTAAGTTTCGCCCAAATTCATTAGTTGAATTGCTCGGGCATGAAATCCATACATGCCATGTGCATCAGGGTTGGTGCCAAGGATCTGTCCTACAATTCAAAACAGGCGAGTCAACCTTGGGAGCCGATCAGCCGCTTGCATTTTCCCGCAATCTAAAGCTATGAAATCTCAGCGGAAAACTAAGAAAAGTACAAACTCCTTTCAAAGAGTTGCATCACTGACAGACTCTGAAGAATCTTTGGGGTTTGTTAGGCAAAAGAGAACTGTACGGCTTGTGACATCACACTGGGAAACACAACAGCATAGTGATGATGAGTGATGTCAGTACTGTACTAATTTGGCGCAGTTCAACACACGCCCTAGATTTTTGTGTTTCCAAAATCAGTCAGCCAAGGCTGTTTGTAAGACCCTTCTTCACGATACCAACACCTCTTTAATTGATTAAACCCGGACTCTTGATTCTATGTGCAAGAGTTTCCGGATCACAATACAACGCATGCAGCATATTTCCAAATGGGCGACTGAGGCCACATACAGCTTATTGATTTGAGAACGATGACGAAAGCGGGCAATGATTGCCCCAGGAGTGTGACGTACCCCCAGCAGGATCAAAATCAGCTAGATGGGAATGATCGTGTGTCAGTTGTTTGTGTGAGGAATCTGTGAAAGTCTGAAGCTATGAACGTGAATTGGCACGTTAAAGTGGTTGGCGAAGAGTCTTCAAAACGCTGAACAAAACGCAGCTTGCCAAAAGGTTGCCAACAGGTACAGGCTCAACGTCCCTATTGGCTTTTGAAGTTTGCAAATTCCTGTGAGATGTATGATCTTAGTTGGCCGCATAGGCACCTGTTTGATTGTGACAGTATCACCAGTTCAGCTGAACCTGTGAAGGGAGTATTTCTTGTTATATGCAATCTAGCCATATCTAGCCTGCCTACATGCTCGGCAGGGCTTTTCGAGGCCCTTAGCAGGTTTAATCCGTTGATTATTTTCGAGGGCGTTTGACAATGTTTGAGATGATGACCGATCATCCGCGCCGTAGCCCCCTCCGTGGTCGCCCCAGGGTTGTTTCGTGAGAGCGGGCCAGCAATGTGAGCAAACACTGTGAGTAAATTGAGTAAATTGATGCTTCTTGGCATCCCGTGAATCCAAAGAGTGCTTGACGAGCGCTTGGAATAGTATGTCCTCACTATAGTCCAAAAATTGTGGCCTTTGTTGGCTTTTCTTCCCTTTCCATGACACATGGGGCCTGAGCTGGGGCTCTTCTCATGTTTCGACACCTCAGCGCTCCACCTCGAGCCGCGAGGCAGAAGGTCTCTACCACCGGGCCTTGGAATGCGGCGAGTCCCAACTGGGAGCCCAACACCCCGACACCCTCGTTTGGGTGAACAACTTGGCCGTTGTCTTGGAGAAGCAGGGCAAGTTGGAGGAGGCCAGGCCGAGGTCTTTGGGGTGCAGAGAGGCGGCCTTCCTGGCATTGTCGAGAGGAAGGCATTTCCCATGTGGCCAGACGGGTGAATTGTTTTTCCCAGTTTCACCAGAGCAATTTGGGAATGTGAGTTGATGCCTAGGCTATCCTAGGCTGATGTACGGACAGATTTTGATTTGAGTTTGATGGGGAAGCATTTCTCGCCTGAGTGTTGGACAGCATTGCTGTTGGTGAATTTATTGTGAAATTATTGGGTTGACCACCAAAAGACACGGGCCAAGCAAGTCAGAAGGCCTTGACTATTTGACTATCTTAAGTGGAGGCAAGTATCGTAGTTTTTCGTGGCACCTCGTTCTGAATTCAAAGAGTGCTTGACGAGCGCTTGGAATAGCATTTTCATACCGCTAGTCCAAGAATTGTGGCCCTCGTTCACCTTTACCCTTTCCCATAAATCAGCCATGAAACCACGAGACCTGGAGCTCTTCTCATGTTTCACCACCTTAGCACTCCATCTCGAGCCGCCAGGCAGAAGGTCTCCAGCGCCGAGCATTGGAAGGCCGCGAGTCCCAACTGGGACCCCAACACCCCGGCACGCTCAACTCGGTGCACAACTTGGCCGTTGTCTTGGAGAAGCAGGGCAAGTTGGAGGAGGCCAGGCCGAGGTCTTTGGGGTGCAGAGAGGTGGCCTTCCTGGCACTGGCGGGAGGAAGGCATTTCTCATGTGGCCAGACGGGTGAATTGTTTTTCCCAGTTTCACCAGAGCAATTTGGGAATGTGAGTTGATGCCTAGGCTATCCTAGGCTGATGTACGGGCAGATTTTGATTTGAGTTTGATGGGGAAGCATTTCTCGCCTGAGTGTTGGACAGCATTGCTGTTGGTGAATTTATTGCGAAATTATTGGGTTAACCACCAAAGACACGGGCCAAGCAAGTCAGAAGGCCTTGACTATTTGACTATCTTAAGTGGAGGCAAGTATCGTAGTTTTTCGTGGCACCTCGTTCTGAATTCAAAGAGTGCTTGACGAGCGCTTGGAATAGCATTTTCATACCGCTAGTCCAAGAATTGTGGCCCTCGTTGACCTTTACCCTTTCCCATAAATCAGCCATGAAACCACGAGACCTGGAGCTCTTCTCATGTTTCACCACCTTAGCACTCCATCTCGAGCCGCCAGGCAGAAGGTCTCCAGCGCCGAGCATTGGAAGGCCGCGAGTCCCAACTGGGAGCCCAACACCCCGAGACGCTCCTCTCGGTGAACAACTTAGCCTTTCTCTTGGAGAAGCAGGGCAAGCTGGCCTCTGAGGTTCTTGGGATTTCTTGGGGTATGAAGTTGCGGAAAGACTGGTACGGTACGGGTGAGTTTTCTTGCTTCCCACCTTCACCTCGGACTGAATTTATGATGTTTTGTGAATGATTTTGGTGATCATCTAAAGCTGATTGCGGTGAGTTCCCACAGTTTTTGACAGGTGCTTGGAATAGTATTTTCTCATTAAAGTCCAAGAAGTGTGGCCCTCGTTGGCCTTTACTCTTTCCCATAAATCAGCCATGAAACCACGGGACCTGGAGCTCTTCTCATGTTTCACCACCTTAGCGCTCCATCTCGAGCCGCGAGGCTGAAGGGCTGCACCGCCGAGCCTTGGAAGGCTGCGAGTCCCAACTGGGACCGCAACACCCGGACACGCTCACCTCCATGAACAACTTGGCCCTTCTCTTGCAGCAGCAGGGAAAGTTGGAGGAGGCCGGGCTGAGGTCTTTGGGGGGAAGGCATGTGGCCGGGACGAGAAACTGGTGAATGTTCTTGTTTCCAAGACTGGAGGAATTTTGGGAATCGGAATGTGAATCTGTGATAAGTGATAAGTATTGATAAGTCTTTTGTGGCTTAAGTTTGCATTGAGGTTGACTGTCCCCAGGATTGTTGCGAGTGAATTTGGTGAGTTGACCCCGCAAGACACGTGCCAAGCATCATGAAACTGTTTCTCCGGAATCCACGCTTCGGCTGTAGATACCAGATTGGGCCTAATTCGTTTGACTGGTTTGTTGGATCTCAACAGCAGTACAGCATTTTGTGCAAGGGTGGATCAACATTGTCTTCCAAGAAGTGAAACTTGGTAGCTCGGTTCTATTTAGAGCTTTGGCTGATGCATCGATAATGTGTGCCAGCTTCACGCAGTACAAAAAAAGCCTTCACATCCTATCATATGCAGATCAGATTCTGAGATTTGCGGGTTTTGATGTTTGACCTATCAATGGGCCACACTACACCACCAACACATTGCCTCTCACCAGTTGCGGATCACAGCACAAGGCCCATCTCGCCACGGCATAGGAAGCCACCCTGCTGTCATCCATCCACAGCCCACCCTGCAGGCGGAGGAGCTCTATCGCAGGGCCCTGAGGGGGCGAGAAGGTCAGCTGGGCCCCGTGCATCCGGACACCTTGAGCTCCATCCGGAGTTTGGCGATTCTTCTGGAGGTGAAAGGCTCTGTCACAGAGGCGATGCCGGCTTGTGTTGTTGCTTGGGGTGGTTCTGCTTGGAGGGGATGTAGATGTGGGAAGTTGATGGAAGTTGAAGAAGTGGATTCACAGCGTCGCCTTCCTGAAAGGAGATCTCACTAATCTTGGCAAGAGTGTTGTCAAGATTCGAAAGATGATGTTTTATTTTGTTTTCTTTTTATAAATGCTTTCTATAGAGACGAGGTTTGGTGACATTCTGGTTGGGTATACCCAACCGGTATTAAGATATTGCAAGTTCCAAGTGATGCGGTTGCAAGGTCATCAGCCTGGGTCCCGGGTGGCCACCCACTGCCATGCACCACGTCTAGGCAGGGCAGCTTTTTCTCCGCGAGCTGCGTAGCCTGGAGGCGTCTGCCAGGGTCACACGGGAACTGTCGATGGCTGGCCTTGGACGGCTCCAGGCCATGAAACTGGTAGTCCCAGCTGGACATTGGTCCGGCTGGTAGTCGCTGCTCGTGGATTTTGGAGTCCCAAAGTAATGTCCGTCAAAAAGTGTTGGTCGCCTTCAGTTGAATTCCATCAATGGACATCTTCACTGTATATTCATGCATCTAGATTTTGCAACAAGAACAAATTTTGATATGATAATCTGATACTGTTACTGTGAATTTTTCCTATCTTTTTGCTTTCGGTATCATGGCGTTCGGTGTTGCAAGTTCAGGCTTGCTCGCAATCTGGCGCGAGCGTGAAATCATTGAGCCCTGCCAACACCTGTGTGTGTCTCTGAGATCCGCAAAACTTTCAGCCCGCTCAGTGCCGCCTTCTCTGCAGGAGCTGCATGGTCCGGAGCACGCAGAGACCCGAGCGAGTCGCCGCAACCTGGAGCGATTCCAACGACAGCACGGGCCAATTGATTAAAGGTGCTGTGAGACCAAAATTTCCCTCCAAGACATTCACAGGCGACATGCTCGAATCGGTTTCAATCTTTACCAAGATGTTTGGATTATTTTGATGGAAAGCTGGCCTGTGGCCTTGTCTTCTCCCGACTGTCAAGGATTTTGCTTCTGAGGCAGCAAGTGGAGGCATGTTTGAGTTTCTCAAAGTTCTGCAATTCAGATTTTGTTCAGAACATGTTTGACCGATAAAGAGACGTGTGAGTTGTTGCCCAACTTGTTGCAGTTTGGGTTTGGGAATGGATTCGCATGCCAGCTTCTCCCAGAAGTATAGCAACATGTTTCCAACAAATTGCATTGGTATGCCTGTGGGATTTGTGGTTGATTCACTTTAGAAAGTTCTGCATTTTCCACCAAGTCTCCATTGACTCGCAGGCATATCAGCATCTTCCAGCCCGTGACCCTGCATCGCATTGAGCCGCAAGCTATCATCATCAATATCTCCCGTTTCACTGAGATCATCTGAGATCTATAGAACCCGAAATCGGAGCTTCGAATTACCAAGCCAATCTGTCCAAACAGGGCGCGTCTCGATTTGACCCCCACAGTACTCGAAGTCTGCAGACTTGGTGTCTGGGATCGGATCACTTCCAGAGTCCATCACAAGGTCAGGGCCTCTGATGATAGTGTTGCCCAGCAATTGTTGGCGCAAAAACAATGATTTGTTTTTATAATTTAGATTTATTTATGTGTCATGTGTTATGTCTTTTTGGCAACCTCAGCTGCTTCTGGTCATGCGCATGTCAACCGTTCGACTTTGGTGTTCAAGCTTTTGCCAGCAACTGATCTCTTTCAAGCCAGTGAGGCAGCGAGTGCCTGTAACTTTCTTGGCCAACCTACTCTATTCATGTGCCAAACTTCTTTTATATCCGCACGTGTCAATAAGAGTGGACCCGGAATTGGTTCCCAATGAGTTTTGAAACATCTTCAAACTTTTTTGGGCCAGGTCCGAGTGACCTCGAAAGAAGGGCTTGGGAGGTTTCTCCGACTTAAAACCTGATTTGTTTCCTCCTTGGAAGAGGCTTTATGAGTGAAACTTTGGAGTCAGGAAGTGCCTGTGGAGCCCAAAATTTCCTACATCCAACATGGTTGTTAACAGCTATACCCCGGTCATGCATGTCAGGATTTGTAAATAGTCAAGACATCCATAAGTTTTGTGCCTTAAACATCTTTAAACATCTTAAAATCCACTTATATCCACTTCATCCACTAGTCCGGCAGCGCTTTTGAGCCTGTGATGTGGCGCCGGGCCATGGCGGATCAAGAGGCCGCTGTTCCTTTGGCAGGAGACGAAGTGGGATGGCCCTGGAAGTGCATAGGCTGCTGAATCTCATGAGGTTTGTGGAGTTGCACCCAAGAGCATTGATCAACCTTCAAACATGATCTCTCGGTCTTGCTCTGGCTTTGGAATGTGGTCACCATTCGGACATATTTGGATTTGCAATCGACGTAGATCATGAGGGTGACTTCCATTTTGCCGGGTGCCAGCGCAGGGATTTCGGTGGTTTCGTTTGAAAACAGTCTAGTTGACTGGAATGCGAAGTGGAGATCCACAATTTTGATACTTGATCTTGCGTGTGATTGCCGTAAGGTGGCCCATTTTTGTGAAAATCTACTGGCCCCCAGCCCCCAACTGTGAAGACATTTTCAAGATTGAAACATTTTTTGCGTGGAAAACTAGCGCCCCAAAAATGGATGAGGGATGCCTTTCATGGCAGACATGGTCTCAACATTGAAGCCCGTTTTGGCTGAATCATAGTGCCCCCAACTGGATGCCCTTCATGACCGAAGACACCACTTTTTTGTACAAGACCATCGCCCCGACATGAATGCATTCTATGACAGGCATGTTCTCAACATTGAAAGCTGCTTTTCCTGAAACAGAATGCCCCCGAAATGGATGCCTTTCAGCAAAGACTTTTTAATTCTCAGCGTGAAACCGATTTTTTGTTGAAACCTGATGCCCCCAAAACCAATGCCTTTCATGTCAAAGATGTTGTCAACATTAACCTTTTTTGTTTGACACAATGCCCCCAAAATGGATGCCTTTACGAAAGATGTTCTCAATGTGAAGCCAGTTCTTTTAAAGCAAAATGCCCCCGAAATGGATGCCTTTCAGCAAAGACTTTTTAATTCTCAGCGTGAAACCGATTTTTTGTTAAAACCTGATGCCCCCAAAACCAATGCCTTTCATGTCAAAAATGTTGTCAACATTGAACCTTTTTTGATTGACACAATGCCCCCAAAATGGATGCCTTTATGAAAGATGTTCTCAATGTGAAGCCAGTTCTTTTAAAGCAAAATGCCCCCGAAATGGATGCCTTTCAGCAAAGACTTTTTAATTCTCAGCGTGAAGCCGATTTTTTGTTGAAACCTGATGCCCCCAAAACCAATGCCTTTCATGTCAAAGATGTTGTCAACATTGAACCTTTTTTGTTTGACACAATGCACCCAAAATGGATGCCTTTATGAAAGATGTTCTCAATGTGAAGCCAGTTCTTTTAAAGCAAAATGCCACCGAAATGGATGCCTTTCAGCAAAGGCTTTTTAATTCTCAGCGTGAAACCTATTTTTTGTTGAAACCTGATGCCCCCAAAACCAATGCCTTTCATGTCAAAGATGTTGTCATTATTGAACCTTTTTTGTTTGACACAATGCCCCCAAAATGGATGCCTTTATGAAAGATGTTCTCAATGTGAAGCCAGTTCTTTTAAAGCAAAATGCCCCCGAAATGGATGCCTTTCAACAACTTTTTAATTCTCAGCGTGAAACCGATTTTTTGTTGAAACCTGATGCCCCCAAAACCAATGCCTTTCATGTCAAAAATGTTGTCAACATTGAACCTTTTTTGTTTGACACAATGCCCCCAAAATGGATGCCTTTATGAAAGATGTTCTCAATGTGAAGCCAGTTCTTTTAAAGCAAAATGCCCCCGAAATGGATGCCTTTTGACAAAGACTTTTTAATTCTCAGCGTGAAACCGATTTTTTGTTGAAACCTGATGCCCCCAAAACCAATGTCTTTCATGTCAAAGATGTTGTCAGCATTGAACCTTTTTTGTTTGACACAATGCCCCCAAAATGGATGCCTTTTGTGGCAACTGTTCTTAATGCGAAACATTTTCTTGTTTCACATGATGCTCCCCACATGGATGCCTTTTCTGTCAAAGAGATTGTCAACATTGAATCCTTTTTGTTTGACATATTGCCCCTGAAATAGATGATGGCAGATGTTCTCAATGTCAACCCCTTGTTTTGTTCGTCCAAGTTTTGGAAAAGACGCTCTGAACTTTGAAAACCCTTTTGACATTTTTCTGGATGAAGAAAAAACAGCCTGGAGATATGGAAACTATTTTGGACCTTTTAGGACCCATAATCGATAGGTTCCCAAAACTTTTCTTTTGGGCAATTTATCAGGGCCAGTGACTTCATCTAAGCGCTTCTGCACTGAAGCAAACAGATGCAAACAGAATATGTCCATCCTTGTTGCAACCAAGATTTCGTATTTTTCGAGGATCGGGTCTGAACACTGCCAAGCGGTGCACTTGGCCTTCGCAGGTCACTTGGCGAAGGCGCCTTCCTGGCCCACCTCATCAGAGATGCTGTCCAGATTTGATATGGATTTGAAGAGGCATCAACGGTGAGCATTGATTTAGGTTCCAAAAGTTATCTTTTGAACTATCGAGATCACACAGGCATTATAGTTGCAAATACTTAAAAGAGTTGGATTAAACTGGATTCTTAATCATTAAAGAGCCCTTGACCGTTCCAGGCCCATGGCCCACTTTGACGCCTCTGTCTCCTCAAATTGAAAGCCCAAAAGCGGCGTTGCAGCATCTGAGGACGTGAAGACGAATAACTTGTAGCAGTCCCAAAACGTTAGGGAAGAACAGCACTCCAGGAAGTCCAGGAAAAATCCAAAGACTCAAGGAGGCAAGGTTAAGAGCATTTAAGAGCAGTACTTCAAGAGGAGGACAGTCGAGGACAGTGCCAACACTGCACCAATCAGAAAAAAACTTCACTTTACGGATGATGTGCCGCAGCATTTTAAGCAGCCTGACAGAAGCTTGCACCCTGCAAGTGCATGCATCGCAAATGCTCGATATAGACAACGACCACCGACATCTACTGACGAAATGTGTTGGAATCACATTAGTTGACGCATGTATCGAGGGAACCCAGTGGAAACCAATCAGAAGTCCAAGAAGATTTGACCAAAATTGGATTATCACAAGAATCTCTGCAAGCTGCTGCTGGGTGCATGTTAGATGTCACATGGGTTGCACACACTTTGCACATACAGTCCACCACGCGCACTCTTGCATCAACTTTAACGAGCCATGTGAATAGAACAGACTATGGATAGCGTCCATATAGCGTCCTTCTTTTTGTTCCGTTCGATTAAATGCTGCATCGCCAGTTAACCAGCAGATTTAAGGAAGTCAGACACTTGCGTTGGGGATTTCCCCCTTCAAAGCTTCAACATGTCTGGATCCAGCGTTCAAACAAGGCTCTCACAGACTTGCACTGCCAAGCACCCGTTTTGCCATTGCACCTGCTGCCTTCCGGTCCCTGCGTCAGCCGGGGGTGCCCAGTCAAGGTGCACCAGAACAGATTATGCAGAGCAGGTGGTTATGCACAGGGCTGTATTCGAAAGATTTATTGAATGATTCCAGGTGGGAATCAGGGCCCCATCGTTGATCACTTTTCGGTGTAGAAGATGCGTGCATTTCAGATCGCGTGCTTGAATGGGAATACACGCGCAGGTTGACTTTATCATCCTATTGAGCTTTGAGTTTTAGTTGGGGCATGTCTTGGGTGAGCTGCGCCATGAAAAAGCTCAGAATTTGATAAGAAACCCGGTGCTTGCGGTGCTTATGCTATCTTATGCTGTCCTCATGAGTGGCTGCTGATTGCCTCGAGGCCAGCGCAAGGGCTCCTTGGACCCGCCAAGCAGAACCCGTTTCGATCGCGTTTGCCCTTGGCCTCTGCCGGGGCCTGAAACTGGCTCTTTGCTGGTGCAGGGCAGCCTGGATCGGCCTTGTCTTCCTTTCGCTGGCGTTGAGGTTGTCACAATGGGCTGCTGTGGCGCGAGAACTTCCCAGGCGGAGGCAGGAGACCTGGAATTCCAGTCAGGTCCGAGATGTCCCAGCCTGACAGTGATGTGCTTGATTTAAGTTACAGAATAACACCCGAATACATGTCAAGATGTAGTCAGATACACACAGGTACAAGATTGACTAAATTGACTAGTATTAGTACATATTACTGTAGTACCTATTGTTGTTTTTGTTTTCCAACCCCAAGTCTTCACTACAAGTCATACAAACCATGGCCCCCTCAGGATATATAACAGCAAAAATAAGTGTCAAGATGTACTTTGATATTGCACAGGTACAAGATGGTACAAGATTGATC